CACTGTCAATTAACCCACTTTATTTGGCAAGACAAGAATTCATGGTTGGTTATGCACATGCCAGTTGAGGAATAATGGTGTAGTAATTGTCTATTTCGCAACAGGCAAGTCACATCTAGCTCTGCAAAGTTCATCACTTAGAGTGTCACGGTAATTCTCAGGGTTATATCATCAGTTGGTTCTTTCCCTCTTTGTACTCTACTAAACGAGTGCTTATATTTTGATGTCGTTTGTTCGTGGAAAGTGCTGGTGCTGCGTATCTCTCTCTTCACAGCTTGAGGACAAGCTTGATGTTCGGAGGGGTGTAATGATACAGTCATTAATATCATTCTTGTTACTATTGGTGTTGGTGATGATGATGATGATGTTGTTGTTATTATTTTGAGTAGATTATTATTATTATTATTATTATTATTATTATTATTATTATTATTATTATTATTATTATTATTATTATTATTATTATTATTATTGTTTTTATTATTATTACTATTTTTATTTTTATTTTTATTATTAGTCTCCGATTGGTAGTTTTACTCTATTTTAGTAAATATCCCTATATCTGGATTCATGTTTTCTTGTATTATTATGGTAGGTTTCTTCACTTTCTTGTAAGGCTTTGCCTTTTTATACTTAGACAATCCTTAATAGAGTTTTGAATCGTGGACATCAAATATCTATTTATGAGAAGTTAGTCACAGATTGCTCTCCCCTCCTTTTAGGTACGGGCAAAGAAGGATATTCTTCTTCAATGTTTGCATACGTGTTCTGCAACTAAGTTTTGTTTCAACACCCATTGATGTTTATTCTATTAGCTTAGCAACTATATTTTGAGTTAATACGGGTATTATACTTATTTACTATATATCTACTCAACGCGACTTGTCGACGTGACAACCATGGCTTTCTGAATTCAATGCCCCTACATGGCAACGTTATCTGGAGGAATGGAACAAGGAAAAATCCATAAACAGAAAGATTCCACTAAATCGGAATAATTTGCCAAATGTAGCCATTTCAGCCATATTTTATGTTCTAATTGCTGTTAGAATCATTACAGGAAATATATTCTGTGAAATTGCCTGGAAATCCAAAGCTTGGTGAAGGGAAACCTGAAAATCGAAATCATGCTATTATATTTACACGTGGAAATGCAATATAGACCATTGATATGAATCAGGTGACTAATAATTTTTATATTGATATTGACCTTAATGTTATTTACAGGGCAAATTGATAGTATATATTTTTTTATTTATTTCTCTTTGTATGTGGACAAGATAGTTACTTTGAGGAGGCTTTGTAGGTCAGAAATCTTCTTGAAGAATTTTACTGTGACCATGGAGTTCGCCCCCCTACTATTCTTGGTGTTAAGGAGCATGTGTTTACTGGAAGGTATGGTATTAGAGGTATTTTGTCCCTTGCAGAGTTCATTTATTTAGGCTTCTGACTCTTTACACTTGTGCATCTTCTCAGTGTTTCTTCTCTAGCATCCTTCATGTCTAATCAGGAATCTAGCTTTGTGACTCTTGGCCAACGTGTTCTAGCAAATCCTTTGAAGTGAGTTCACGTTAATCGTGAATATTTGTTGTTCCATGGCATTTACAGAGTAATCAAGAAACTATGAAAGAAAAGTCTGTCTAACTTGTATTTGAAATGATCATCAGGGTTCGTATGCATTATGGTCATCCAGATGTCTTTGATAGACTATTCCATATAACTAGGGGTGGTATCAGCAAAGCATCTCGCGTCATAAATATTAGTGAAGATATTTTTTCTGGTAAATTTACTTCACATTTAAGGGGATTTTGTTTCATAATTTAATGTTATTGTGTTTAATTTTAATCTTATGGGTGTAGAGTTTGGGAAATATACTATATTAACTGCGTGTTAATCCTTACTATATGTTCTATATTTATATGCATGGCCTATAGTTAACATTTGTTGAGTTTATTTAAAACATTCCTAGTCAAATTGGAGCATATAAGTTACAGTTTACAAGATACATAGACAATGTTTGCTACCAAAAAAAACCATTTTGTATGTCTCAGAAATACTTAAAACCCTGGATATCTCTTCCAATTAATCTGCCGATTTTATGAAGAATGATGCACTTAGGCATAATCTATTACATATTTACATGGTGAGAAAAGATAGCCATTCTTTCAACTTTAGATTTGTCCTTTCCATGACATACAAGATGCTACTACCTAAGTTATCAGACGACATACAAGCTGGAAATTTACAGCTTGAGTTGCCTTCCTCCACCTCTGGACTCTGCTCTTGCCACTACGACGGCACATGGAATTCCTTGTGGCGCTTGGAGGAATTCCTAGCTTTGAGATGCTGCGGCCTGTCTAATCCGGAACCCATACGTTGGAGTATATTTTGCCATGGAGTAGATCTTCTAAAACTATTAAGTTGAAAGAAAGAGATAAAAAATGAAGGGAGAAAAAGAATAATGGAAGAAGAAGATGGCAAGTACAAATCTGATGGAAGAAGAAGATCGACAGGGAAGAATGAAGAAAGAATGAAAATGTGATGGCTGTCGAGGATAAATCTAGAGTTAGAGTGGAGTAATGAGGGAAAAGAATGAAAAAGGGTAAATAAGGTATTTTACACAATGATTTGCCCAATAAGGAAATGGAAAGAAAACTTTAAAATGGTCCAGAAAGGAATGTGAGGAAAATTTCTGGACAGAGGGAGTTATAATTAATGAAACCCTAGACTCATAACATCCATGTACTTTTAATAATCTTCAACAATTGTGGCAATGTATTATAAGCATGAAGTGGATTCGACACAAGTTCATAGTGGATCAAATCAGCTTATGCGCGTAGGTTTGTAATGTAACGATAGGTTGTAATGCCTTTTCTTTATATCAACTAAAATGCAGGATTCAATTCAACTTTGTGCCAGGACAATGTTACTCACCACGAATACCTCCAAGTTACTAAATTCTCTCTCGCTGGTATGTGGAGGTCGTATTTCATGATACTTATCAGCTAATGATATCACTAATGATGTTGTATAGGTTGGCAAGGGACGAGATGTTGGACTCAATCAGATTGCTTTCTTTGAGGGGAAAGTTGCAGGTGGTAACGGGGAACAAGTCCTTAGTAGAGATGTCTACAGCATAGTTATCAAGGCGTCGCCTAGGCGACGCTTAGGCGTCTGGGCGAGGTCATATGGACGCCTAACTGCTCGCCTAGCCTTTTTTGTGCAAACACCACTAGAAGAAGCTGAGAGAGGAAGAAGGAGGAGAAGAAGATCTGAAGAAGACGAAAGAGAGAGAGAGAGACTGAGGAAGATCGAGCTTACCTTACTTGCCGACGCTGATTCATTGTCGCGACTGCCGAGATAACCAGCGGCTCCTCTAAACCCTCCGACTCTCTGACTCTCCAATTAGTTATTTTAGGTTAACTAATTTGGGCTGAGTTTATTACAAGAGAAGTGGGCCTTTACACTTATTAATATAGTTGTTTATTAAAAGAGCATTGGGCCCAAATATTATTTCACTTTTAAAAAGTTTAGAAAGATCAAAATATTTACTTATTTTGCTGAATATATTTTTAAATTTTA